TTTAAAATTCTCTGCACATTTAAATTCATTCGCTGGCTTCGTCAGAGGTGACGGCTGAATCATCTCCAGCTGTTCTCACATCCCATTTTCGACATCCATGCTTGTGAAGGTAACATTTATTGCTCAAATATTGCTTTTTCATATCTCAGCACACATAATAGTGTTCTCGGGTATGTTTCAGTTAAGTATGAACTTTGTTTCTCCGGAAATGGAGAAATAAAAACTTTCAAAAATGAATCAACTGACATATTCCAAAGCAGGGTTTTCACAGCAAAGAACCACATTCAGCGAACAGTTCTTAAAAGAAATTTTTTTATTTTATTGATGTTCACCATCTGTGTTGATGTAAAATAACCCTGGATCCTCTGATCCCGGATCAGTTGCCTCCTCTTGATTCTGTTAGGACTGGGGTTGAGGAAACTGGTCCTGGACGAGGCCTTATGGTCAATGCCTACTCCAATTAGCCTCCACAAATGCAAAAGCCCCAAAGGTGTGGGAGGTAAAAACAAGAAAGAAACACGCTGTACAACACAACAATATTCTATGACAGGGTTAAGTGAGCCGTACATATATTATTACTTATGCATAACTCCTAATTTCTAATGACTAATATAAAGTTAGAATGCATGGAAAACGTGAAACTCCTAAAACTGAAATTAAACTAAAAAGACTACCCATGGAAAAAAGGAGTTTGCAAGGGATACACAACCTGAAAAGTGAACCATAATATCAACAATAACAGTTTAACCCTTTACAGCCCGACATATTAAAAAATAGTCCGACTTTAGTTTTCCCCCCAACTGAACAGTTTATTAAATCTTTAGATGAAATCTAAAACAAACAAGTTTGCATGTTTTTTGTTGAATATCATCCGATGCATCAGGTTTTTATGGCTCATGTAGCATGATATAGTGAGAATATATTCAGAAGCCCAAATTAAGCAAAAATGTGCTATTTGGTGCAGATGCTGATATTTATATGGCTAAAAAGTAAGATGAAATTCTGATAGCTTATAATGTAAATCAATGCAATCTTTATCTTTAACAGTATAGAAGTATGCAATGCATATAAATATCAGTTGTCACTCAATATCTCCCAATAATATGTCTTAGTAAGATGATAATTGTATGAATAGTCAAGTAAACCTAAGTTGCTTCAATCCAGTAAGTGCTTATCTTGAAATATTCTAACAATATAAAAGTTATTCTTACATTTACTTTGTAAAAATCTGTAAAGATTTCAAGGTGGACGTTTTTACAATTACACTAAAAGGGCTTTTACTTGATTCAATAGTATAAACTATCAATCAGACAACAGAAGGCATGTAGTAGATTGTGTACAGCAGGTTTTTTAGCAATGTTTTGATCATGGTGATAATTACTGAAATTTGCAAATTTATGACACAATAGGCTTTGCAGGGTTAAGGGACTAAAACTGCGCTGTGTTGGGCCACAGAATTACAAATTACATATTACTTTTCATTCTACCTTTTCTAAGACCATTCTCCATGTTATTACATTAATAGGAGCCACAAACAAAGCAGCGAGCAATACTGCACAGCAATTATGAGCTAATTTTGCACACCAGTGTTCGAGTGTTCTCAAAGGAACAAGAAAGTTGTAATTCTCAGGCCTTCATCAGCTATAACAAACAATCTTGTGTGCATTATAGGCCATATGAAGCAAACTGCCTCAAATTATCCTCACTTAAAATCATTACTTTCTAAGGCTTTTCCCACTATGATAAATGCTGGATTTATGTTCTTTTGAAACTCTGTTGAGGTTGTGTTGAGTCAGGTTTCATGCTTTTTATTTTGAAAGGGGGTTAGCACTGCTTTTAACCTGGGTTTATGAAGCCCTGCTTCACTAAAAATACTCATGCGCTTTGTACAGTCAGAAACTAAAATAAGATTCACATCTAAGGAAAACCGTTGAATCGATTTCACTGACATTTGTAGAGATGGACAAGCTACATATATTCAGCATACATATTTCCATAGCTGACATAAACATGAAAAAATAAGTCAACATTAAATCAAAAATCTAAAATATAGATAAAGTAGAATTAAAATAGAATAGAAAGTGTTAAAGTTAGAGGGTCAAATAAAGGTTGAACAGATGTGTTTTTAGTCGTTTCTTGAAGATGGTTGAGGACTCAGCTGCTCGGATTGATTTGGGCAGGTCATTCCACCAGGAGGGAACAGTTAATGAAAAAGTATGTGAAAGTGATTTTGTGCCTCTTTTAGATGGCACAATAATACGCCGTTCACTTGCAGAACGCAAGCTTCTAGAGGGCACATAACTCTGAAGTAATGAATTTAGGTAAATGGGTGCAGAGCCAGTGGTGGTTTTGTAGGCAAACATTAATGTTTAAACGTGTTTGTGTGCATCGCATGGTCATTCAAGAAAAAAACAGATTCCCTCTGCTGTACACAGAGCCGTTTTATCTCCTGAGCGCTGTCCCACTTCTGCATTCTGTAAATACCCTCGCAAAAGCAAGATAATGCCCTAATGTAGGCCATAGTGTCTTCTGGAAACCTTCTCTTGAGTGAGTCATGTCTGAACCGGGGCAGAGTCCGCTGACTGACTTCAGCTCTACTGTTCTAGTTCTGAGTTCTGATATTCACTGTCATACATTGACTGACCTGAGGAACCATTTGATAAGTTAATTGTCTTGCACGCTAGAAATTCAGATACCATCCACTTTCCAAGTTTCATGCTACCCAGAGAAGTTTCAAATACCAACTGAATACAAGAAAACCTTCCAATTTACTTCCATAATACAGAGTATCCAACAAAACAAAAAAAACAAAAGTAGAACGAGACTTGACTTTATCCATTAGGAATCAGATTGTGAAATGGCAATACAGCCAATACAATACATACCAGAATGCAGTCGTGCAGATGGATAGAAAGGGGAAGAAAAATAGAGGGCTTGGTGACATCAGCTGAGAAGGAAAGTTGTTTCAAAGGCAGAGCAAGTTAAAAAGTGATTGCATTTTTAAATATTTTCACTTTGTATTGATGTGCACCAACTAATCGCTCACAACAAGACAAGAATAGTGTATTAAGAAAGTAATAAAGTGCATTTTGATTTCAAGTTGACTTTTTCACAAGCATGAGATGTTCCTGAATTAATGTCCTTTGTTGCTTATGTTACAAAATTCTTAACCAATCATAGTCCTCTGATCGTATGGGTAGTGTAGAGTTTGGATTATGATTGTTTGAAAATAATTTTTTTCAATGAATGATTGATTCAAGAATATGTCTTTAAAAAAAATGTTATGCTATAGCAAACAAACTGCAAAACAAACCGGGTGTTTTATCTTTGATGACTTGCTCCATCAAGACATTTAACAGCATCAAAATAATTCCAATCAAACTAATATGCAGTGACTTCTGGGCTGTGGGTAGCTTCTGCAGTAGCCTGCAATCCAACTTAGCAACTACAGTAGCAAATGTCAATGCTTTGAAATAAAATGTATTTTAAATCATATTTGAAGAAGAATGGGAACATAACATGTTTCTGCCCGATGGCATGTAATTTCACTTCAATTAGTTCTGGAAATAAAAACATCCAATAAAAGAGTTTTAATAAAATAAAATAAAAAGAAGAAGAAGAAAATAAATTCTACAAAAAAATTTAAATCATCCTATGCATATAATTTTTTCACATACAAAACAAATAGCTTATAAAACAGCAGCTTATATAAGAAATAAATAAAAGAACAAAGATGAAGCCAGTAAGTGCCAAAAAGAACACAGATCCACTATCTGAGATCTGAGTGCACGGTTGGTCCATCATTAGTATGCCACAGACATGAATTTTTAAAGGATTTCAGCCTATTGCTTTTTATCTTGGAAATTTTTGCTGTAGATGAATGAAATTGGTAGCGCTTTTCTTTCAGAAACTATCCCCATCTTTGTGTAACCTTACCTCATTACAGACACGATATCAAAAATTCTTAATCATCAAGCTTTTATGATGATCATTATGCCATCATACCATAATGATGTTCATTTCTTATTCAAGAAAAATAAATACATTTTTAGTTGTGTTTAAGCAGTGTCTGACAGGGCACACAGCAGAGTTGAACTTTTTTTCATAGTTGATGAACAGTTGATGGCTGATAATGAGGCTAAGGATTTTGTTTTGATTAATTTTGTAATAACGTGACGGATTCACACATGCATACTAAACATATCACCAATTATGCTCTTAAAATTATGTTGTAGATAATAATGAAAGCCTTGGCACACACAAAAGTGTATTTTTATGGCTTAAAAATTAATCTACCTATGGCTACAAGAAACAATGAAAATGAGAAGGATTTTAACTCGAATCATCTACAATCATGCACCACAGTGCAACATATCAGACCACATAAATTTAAGTTTGTACAGCAGGACTAGAATAATAATAATCTTGAAATTGCTTCATTTGTTATTGTTGACAAATAATGCTTTCTTAATTTTAAGTTCATTGAACATTTTTATTTTTTGAGTATAAAGTAATAAAATTCTGATGTCTCGCAAAGCAGCATCTCTCAGAATATGGCAAACACTTTGAATCACTGAATGTGTCTTCACACATCCTACTTGAGACTTTTCAAAGTAAAATGTGTTGGCACATTCTCTATAGTATACAGAAATCTGGAAAGTCTCTCAGCAAGAAGACATGCTGAGAGGCCTTTCTTATGAAAACTATTATATCCCTCAGTGATGAACTTGATGAGTGGACAGATGGGAGGGCGGTTTAAAAAGCATCACAGCTATCACTGCTGGAACATGTTAATGACAATCAACATAGGATTATATGCAAAAGCAGAGGGTTGGAACAATTTCCTTGCTGTTTATGTCTCACTCATTTATTCTTTATACCAACCACAAAAAAGAAGAGAATTACCGCTCTTACCAATTTGACTTTACCAATAAAATATTCTTTGGAATTCACATTTTTTCTTCTTACCGCGTTATTCCTTGACTCATTCACTTACTCACCCGTCTCGCTCTGCCTCCTTCTTCTCCAGATCCTGAATGACGTCCAGTAAAACCTTGATGGTGTTCTGGCTGGTCTCCAACACCCCTTCCAGGCTGTGCAGCTGAGACTGCAGAGCCCCAATGTCGTACAGAGGGCCATTTGGGCCAAACAGTTTCTCTTTAGCCTTTGCCAGGTCCAGCTTACACTTAGTCCCAGACATAAGCCCCCCCAGTAGCTCCTGCACCTGCCGCAGTGTGTCCGATTGGCCCTCCACTGGTCCAAGGGGGGCCAGGGGGTTTGTCCCCCCAGCAGGAGGCAAGTGGTTTGCATTGGCCTGGGATTCTGGACTGAGGATCGCCCGTCGGACACTTAAACAGGTGGGCCTCACCATAGCTCTTGCCTTACTTTTGGGAGGGATAGGAGGTGGGGTTTCACCTGCCTGATGGCGAGTTCCTGCTTCAGCATTTGGCTTCACTGCCCCAGTTTTCGCTCTGTCCTTTTCAGCATTGTTGCTCTCAGCTTTGGGGACAGGAGGCTTACAGGGCTGTCCAGGAGTAGAGGAGCCCTCTTTGCGGGGGGTGTAAGGAGGAGGAGGAGGTGGTGGGGGAGGAAGCATGAACTCTCTCCTGTCTCGTCTGTCCTGAGTGCAGCAGAAGGCCTGAGGAGGGGAGGGGCTCGCCCCAGCGTTAGAATACAGCAGAGTAGTCTGTGGAGGGCAGGCGTAAGGAGGTAAAGAATGCCTGAAATTAGCAGAGGGAAGCACAGTTTCCTGGGGTTTACTTGCGTACATCATTGCCTCACGTGGACAGAGAACAGGTGACATATTTTGTGGAAATGATTTGGAGTGTGATACTGTTTGAGTAAAAGTCTTTGGGAGTCTTTGTGCAAAATGTTGCACAATTTGAGAGGGATTACTGCATGACACTGCATTTTGCATACTAGAGTTGCAGTGTGGCAATGCTTGAACAGAAAGTTTACCTGGTGCAGGTTGTGTGGAAGAGCTGCAAATCAGAACTGGCATGGAAGGAGTCACATGGGTTGCCACATTTTGTTGATCCAAAATGCAATGTACTGCAGTTTGTGCAACAGGAATGGCATGTGCCGCAGCTGCAATAGGGCCCTTGAAGTGTGAGACAGGGTGTGGAGCAGTGGCACAGGATGGCTCGGGAGGAAATGACATAACATTGTGAGGGAGAGTTTGTGTAGGAATCTTATGAGGTGCCGTAGGTTGTGTAGAAGAGCCAAAGGATGCTGGTTTGTCTTTGACACAGTATGTTATAGAATGCATTGGAATTTTACAAGATGATGTAGACTGAACAGGTGTTGGGGTGTGTGTAGCTGATATAGGAGTCTGTACAGGAAGGGTATGGGTCCTACCCAATGGCTCATTCTGTTTAGGACTCATACATCTTGGCACAGACTGAATAGGAGTTACAGGTTGTGTTGGAGATATCACAGAGTACACAGGTTGATTTGAGGTGTTATCACATGCCATGGGTTGTGTTGGAGTCTTCTGGCATGGCTGTGTGGAACTGAACGTAGAGGCAACTGCAGGTGCTCCTTGAGAACAGGCCGCTGCCTTTGAGCCAGCAGTGTTGGAGCATGGAATGGTTTCCTCCAACTTCTGGAAACAAGGCCTGGATTGGGCAGGAGTTGTGGGATCTGTATGTGAATCTGGAATGCTTTGGGACTCTGGTAATGGGGGAGTCTTACAATTTGCTCTAATCTGAATAGCAGGTGTGCAACAACGCCTTGTAGATTCAGTAGGAGACATGCATGATTGCCCGTGTGTTGAGAATGTGGTGAGAGTGGATATGACTTGTGCTGTTGTAGTGCACAAAGGCTCTGGTAGAGTGGGGGTCAAACTGATGTTCTCCGCAGCAGCCTGCTGTGGGCAACATTGTGATGTTTCTTTGGTACATGTGGTTGATGGAGATGGTGCAGTGTGAGATGGGCAAGATGCAGGATCTACTTCAGCTTTTTGCAAAGATGTGTTGTCTGGGACAGTTTGGATTTTTGAATCAATGCTTGCTTCAGTCTGTGTGGAAGAGACACTACATGGCATATTATGAACTGTGTTGGGCGTGGGGGAACGCTGCGTGGGTACAATATCTGACGAAGTTCTGTGCGCCACAGCTTTGGATGGAAGCTTCTTGGGTTGGATAGACTGTTGGTGGCTTCTGTGCACAGTTTTAGTTGGGGAAGTACAAGGAGGCTCAGGTTTCCCAGGATCACTTGCTGCTCTGTTTAAATATTTCCTCCTACCTCTCCTTCTAGACTGTTTTTGTGGCGCAGCAGAACATGGCTGGAATTGTGTTGATATACCCACAGAGGCAGTTTGATTATCCTCAGTTCTCTGGCACCTTGATTGCTCAGCAGGGGTACAATGTTGGACAGAGCTCTTCTTTGATCTACAAGGTGGAATGTAGACATGTGCGGTCAGCTCATCAGAGGAGTCTCCGTCATCCCAAGCTCCCCCCAGGCTGTGACTGCGAGACTGCGTGGCAGAGAGCGAGGGAGGCTTCTGCAAACTGGGTGAGGTTTGGATGGCTGTACTCCTGCATGGCTGAGTTGGCAGCGGCAATGTGAGAGAACATGGATGTGTTGGGACCCAGCAGCGTCTGGCAGGCCCAGGGGTAAGAGGGTGCGGTGGTGCTCTCTTCAAAAATGCTGTCACTGCTCCAATTGTCTTTTCCATATCCCCACGGACTGCTCCCACCAACGAGGGCCCGTTTGTCAACTCTTTCTGCCAGTTTGGAACCTCTGTTGGGCTCTTACTCCTCAGCTTGTCATTTTTATTCTTAGACTCATCATCATCCTCCAAATCTTTAAAACGTACTTGCTGTGTGCGATTTCGTCTCCGTTTAAGTCTGCTTTCAATATCTGGAGAGTTCCGGTTGAGGAGCACTGAGCGCACAGTCACGGTGGTGGGTGTTTTGTCTGGGTTGCCATTGCTATGGCTGTGAACAGTTGGCAAATGGTTGGGCTCTTTGCTCACCATGTTATCCAAGAGTAGTTTATGAACCATAGATGTAAATAAAAATTTGACTGTGTGGTTTTTTTTGTCTGCTTTCACAAGTCAAATGTGAATGAACAATTAATTAGATAAAAAATTCAGTTACAGCACACAGTATATTTGACATTTGGCAAACTCTGAACATGATAAATACTGCAGTAACAAAACAAAAAAATAAAACAGACCAGCCGATGGCAGCAGAGCATGTGACTGGTCCTTTCCTCAGGTCACCTGAGGGTTTAACTCTGAACATGATAAATACTGCAGTAACAAAAAAAAAAAAAAAAACAACCCAGCCGATGGCAGCAGAGCATGTGACTGGTCCTTTCCTCAGGTCACATGACTGAGGGTTTCTGTGTAAGTCTTTGTGGTAATGCTGTCAGAGTAGGTTCTGGTTTTGGCATGAAGAGTCTTTATAAGCAAGTGTATTTATATGCAAAAGAGGGACTGGATGTATCCTGAGCTTCAGCCCCATTAGTCCACAGGGACACTTAAACACTCAATGAGCAACCTTGGTGATACTCTCTTTGTATAAGTCCTGAAGAGCATGAAACTTTGGCAGGGTAGGCTTGCGAGTATGTCCCAGAAGTCTGCATCATGGTTTCATAGCCAAGAGCAAAATCTCAAGACACATAGCTCTCACTGTGTACGTCTGCAGCAGTTGTAACCGTGCTTGTCCTAAAAAAAAAAATCAAGGCAAATAAAATCTTAATGGGATACAGTTTTCAGGCTGACCAGTGAGAGGATGTCCCGACACCTTTAATGCCCTACTTTCCAATTCTAAGCTTGTGTGCACAGTCCTCTCTGGTGTAGCATATCTCGACAGTCCAGGACTGGGCAATGCATCTCTTCAGGTTGACTTTTATCTCTCACATTTGCCGTTGAGTTTCTTTGCTTGTGTCATTCACCTCATAATTTTCTTGAGACAGGAACAGAACTGGAACATCTGAGCAAAGTAGAAACACAGAAAAAAGACAGTAGGTTCAGTAATGTCCCAAAATTGAGGTTTGTATTTCTGAATCATGTTTTACTTTGACAAACACATACACAAAAGCTGGCTTTAACATAAAACCGTACCTAAGAACATACATAAGTACCTAGATAGGATTCCTCAACTATAAAACTGCCTCAAGCTAAGATTTTATGAGTTCTCTCCAATAATCTAGTCTTTGATCTCTTTTCATTTCCTGGTGAGGTAGTCTACGAAATAAGATTAGTTTAGGGTCAATTGTATGACAGAGGCAGACACTGAGAGTACTTTTAGCTTGTCTGTAACTTTGGGGCTGGTGTTTAACTCGGCAGTGTCTCAGAAGGGGCAGGCTAAGAGATATTCAGGGGTAAAGACTGACAACGCTAATTAACTTGGCTTGTCTTTAAGCAACCCCCCTGGTACATGGAGGCACAAGCATGACGGCTGATCGCCACAGGATATTCTGAACACACTCTATCACATTGTCACTGTTACCAGGCACTGCATTATGTCTGTGACCAGACAATCACAGTCCCCTGAGTCATGAGAGGATGTTAAATGTCTGTGTACGTGTCTTGTGATACACCCATTTGCTCAGTGTAACTTTCCTATCAGATCGGTCAGACTGAATCATTGCATAGAGCATCTTACTCAACAAAACTACATGTCACAGCCCTCCACTATGATATCTTGTATGTAGTAAAACAGTATTAACTTTACATGCTAATTAGCCTATGGCCATATTTGGAATGGAATATTCGCTTCTTATGGTGTGTTCAAGTTCTCCTGAGAAGTTCGTACTGACGAGTTACGACATTGGATGTATTCAAATCATTCTAGCTAGTTTTATAGCCAGTCAATACAGATGCTGCATCTATTGCATCCACCATATTTTCTCACTAACATGCCCCAAACTCAGAAACTCTGGGCTTAAAGAAAGTTCAGAGTTTGCCCACTTGTAATTCCGACATTGTGGTGCCGTCTTTCTGACATGACGTGAATGCACGATTAGTGATTACTGCAGGGTATATATGTATGAATCATTGTTGTTATGCAGTACACTTTTAAAGGCAGGGTAGGTGATTTGGTTCAAAAACATTTTTTTGTTTTGCTGGTTGAAAATCTCTTCACATCCCAATAGCAATCCCTAAGTTAAGTGGTCTAAATGTATTTATATGTATTGTTACGAACCCCACTTTTAAAAGACTCGGTCAAGAAGGGGTTAAGCAACATAAAAAGGACACGCAAGACAGGAGATCAATTTTAACCATTTATTAAAGGTCAAAACAGCTTGCGAGTCACATTAATTAACAACGGCAAATGTAATAGTTAAATCAGTTAAACTAAAGAAAAATACCTCAATGGGTATTCAGTAAACGAACAAAACACAGATCAACAGAAACATTAAAGAAAACACAAAGAGAGACACAGAGAGAGAGAAAACACCGCTTATCAGCGGTGCTAGACAGCAAGACGCGCACGAAGCTCACGGAATGCTCGCCAACGTCGATGGCTGGACGGCAGTAGCTTCTCAACCAGTGCGAGTCAATCTCAAAGAGCATGGAAGTCACTGTGGCGGACCCGCGATGGGGTAGGGAGAGGCTCTGGACACAAGTGCGACTTCCGCCTTATATTCAGTCCGGAGCGTCCTTACTCAACAAGCTGCAGGTGTATGTGGGCGGAGCTCAATCTCGGGAGAAAGAAAGGAACCAAATTAATATCTACACACACATACCTACAAATGAACAAAACTTTGACCGTAACAGTATGTATATCGTCTGTGGAAGGTGTAGGACCATAAAATGTTCGTCCAATCAAATCCCTTGGTCCAAGGGCTATGATAGGCTGTCCTACCTGCCTGTCAATGTATGTATTTGCATACCTCCGCACACCCTGTTCGCACAGACATGATACGCCATCAGCGCGTTCTATTACGCTATTGCAGACTGAGCGAGAATGGAAGGCGTTTAGAATGTCTAAAGTGGACTATCGAAATAAAGTGTAACCTATTATTGTAATATTATGTGCTTTGTATTGTAATTTTTTTTTTCACCGGTGAATGAGACATGAGGTAATCTGACAGCCAAAACGTGTCTCATCATGTAGCTGGTTAGCCTCTGGTCTGCCTTTGCAATGTCATGTGTTTTGGAGGAGGTGTGGCTTTGGAGAGTGATTTGCAGGGAGACTCTCCAAAATTGCCTACCCTACCTTTAAGTTACTATAATAAACAGCAGGCTATGTCTTAATCTACTGCAAAAAAAATATTAAACAGGTTTAAACAATTTTTTAAATATGAATATCATATTAGTTTTTTTTTTTTACTTGCATCCTATTCATCTTCTTGTCATTGTGTAAATAATCAAGATAAATAAATAATTTAAAATATGTTTACATACCTGAACTTGAGCAAAGCATAAATCTGAAAGGCTGATAAACCTTAAATATTAATATAAATATTTCCTTATATCATTTTTTCCAAATGTTACAGAGTTCGAAATGTATTGCAGAACATGAATGACTCGTATTCCAATATTTTAAATACTGTTCTCACATGACCTGATAAACATTGCATGTGCGTTGCATTAGTTAGCATCTTGTAAATAACAGTTTTTATTTTTCATGTTTACTTATCAGTTCAAATCAAATCATGTTAAAAAGAAAAATATGTAAAAAAAAATCTTGGTTGACATTGCTTTGGGTTCATTCTTCACACTGAAATGAAGGTCAAATTGAGCACAATGCATTTTGCGACAATGTGCTCTGTTGAATACTGCATATTTTGGCAAAAGCAGCTGGTCATTCAAGCATTTATGCATACAAAACCTTTGTATACTGCGCACACATACTACAGTTACTACAGAGATGTAGTATACTAGTATGCTATTCTGAGCATAATACAGAAATGCAAAACCTCAAGAACTATTTGCATGCCAAAACACACATACAGTGTTCATTTCGATTCAAGTCCCTCATATTTACTTTCAGATAGCGCCAACAGGCCCTTGAGCACAGAGGTTCACAGGAAAAGGCATAAAGCACATACTATCACCTCACACCTCTAGTTTTATGTAGGTAATCAAGCCCTCATTGATTGCCTCTCACTCAGCTAAACTACGAGTTCCTCTTGAAATCTCTCACTGCAGCTCTTCACGTTCAACCACCGCTGGAGCCCCAGACAAAAGGCCAGACATTCTCCATTATTAACCTGTTATCTCCATGTAGCCCAAAGATCAATCTAGGTTGGTACAGCTTAGCAATTGTAAAGTTATACAGCTCGTTAATTGGGGGCTTGTACAGAACAGACAGAAAATAATAAAAAAACAGCAGTTGCAATGTCAAATTAGGTGAATGCATTGACTGTTTTTTAAACGTGTCTATATAGTTTTTAGGAATTTTTATTTTAGTATCATTGATGTACTATTTTAGTTATTATTCATATTTAGTCTTATGGTATATAGTATATATACTATATATAGTCTTTGTAATGTCTCATTACTTAATTTTAGGGAATTAATTATCCATGGCATATCAGTGTCTGTTATGGATAGAAATCCCTACATCTTATATAGTCTTATAGTATATATACTATAACTCATATATAGTCATATTAGTCTTTAGTATTTCCATTTTAATTTTATTCAAAGTCTAATAATTTAGTTGTTTTTTTTACATTTTTATTCGTTTTTTTAAGTATGTCTATATATTCCATATTCATTTTTATTTCAGTTTTAATTTTAATTATTTAAATACTTTAATTTAAACTAAAAAGAAAATGAGAAATTATGTTTTGGCAACTAGATGAAACTAAATAAGTGTTGTTTTTTTTCTGTTTGCATCTATTTTAAGTACCAAAAATTTTATGGTTTTAATTTTAGTTTTTGTTAATGATAATAACCCTACAGTTTCCTCAATATAAAAAGTACAACGGTTTTGAACGCAGCTCATCCAAAAACAATTTAAAACAATCTGTTTTATAAAAGTCAAAAGCAAAACAAGTCTTCTGTCTCTACTGAACTCTGTAAAAGAGGTGTTACCATCTTTAGCTGCTGCCGTCTGTTGTA